GTGTTCCCGTCACATTGTGACATTTTTCGATCTAATTGGATCTCATCTGACGAAAACAGAAGTGGTAGACTAAAGACAAACCCGAAAACAGAATGACGTCTTATTCATGTTTTTCACTAATGAGTGTAGGTACACAGGTACACAGGCGCCGTGTAATTTGGATGGTAGAAAATAAAAAAAACTATGTGTCTCCTGAACTAAATACAGATTACTAAAATTTGTTTGAAGACACACATATATATACCTTTCTGTGTTAGACCTTATTTTTTCTACATGGGGAATTTCTATATGGCCCATTTGTCAGATTCTTTCTAATCTTGCCACCATTGTTATCAATTGATTTTCATAAAGTTCCATAATTTCTTCATTGCTCTTCTTTATCTATGCTCCTCTATCTCTATTGGGTCCTTTTCTCACGTTTTATTTTAATATTTCATTGTCTTACTTTTCAGGTACTTACGTTGGGTTTTGTGTAAAGTTCCAGTTTCACAGTTTTTTTATTTCTTCTCATGTTTATGCTCTGTAAAGTAGTATATTTTTGATGCAACTATTAAAGATTTTAATTTTTATTATTTCTGATATTTCGTTTGTTTGCCAAATTTTATTTAAAACGTTAAATGCATGTTGAACCTTTATTATTCTTGTCTGTATAAGTGCATATCATTTTTACACCCTCCGTTCCTTTCAATGGCTGATCCAAAATATGTGAACTTGTCTACCTCTTCTACTTCCTTGGCGTTTATCATTAATTTATTATTTGGGTGGATATTATTTTTTAAGAGTTTGGTTTTCTCTGTATTTATTCTGATTCCAGCCTTGTCGGGGTACTGTGCCAAATTGTAAATTTTTGTTTGCATATGACTTCGGTGTTCAGACAGTAGGTATCTTTTTCTTAACATGCCATACACCAAAGTGCGTAGGCGACTATCTCATTACTAGAATTCTGTTCTTGGCGGCGTGACACAGCTCGCCTGTATTGTGTATTCCTGTCCATTCTTTAACATTCCTTAACCAGGATTGGTCATTTGGATTGGTGGTAATTGTTTGCGGCCGGCTCCTCTCCTACCTTCGATCTGCCCTTGTAGGATTAACTGTGGTATTTCATATTTCGCTCCTCTCAATATGTGCCCAAGGTAACCAATCTTGCGTTTTTTAATTAATTCAAAGAGTTCTCTTTCCACGCCGGCTCTTTTAAGGACGTCATCGTTTCGAACTCTATCCACCCAAGGTATGCGCATCATTCTTCTCAATGACCACATTTCAAATGCTTCAAGTTTGTTGATAGATGTTTTTTTCAAAGTCCACGTTTCCGTGCCATAAAGCAAGATGGACCATAAGTAGCACTTGACCATTCTGTTGCGTATTTCGAAATTTAGGTTTTGATTACATAGGAGCGGTCTGAATTTCACAAAAGCTTGTCTTGCCATTTGTATTCGGGTTTTTATCTCGTGTGGTGGATCCGATTGGTCATTGATTGTGGTGCCAAGGTATTTAAAAGTTTTCACGCGTTTTATACGATCGTCACCTATGCATATTATCGGGTTTTCTGGAGGGTTTCTGCTAATCACCATATATTTCGTTTTCAAAATGTTGATTTTGAGGCCATATTTTTTACCTATGCTATTCACCCTATCAAGTAATAACTGCTGATCTTCTATAGTAGGCATACGTCATTCAAATTCACCGCAAATTTAAGATCTCCTATCTGTTTGAATAGGTTCCATCTGATGCCTGTTCGATGTTGTTATTTTTCTCATTAACCAATCTATCACAATAAGGAATAGGGTAGGAGATAGTACACAACCCTGTTTGACTCCAATTTCTACGTCTATTTCTTCTGTTGCTTAACCTGAGTGTTCAAGTTTGGCTATGTATCCTTCGTAAAAGAGTTTAATAAAGTGTATGATTTTCTGTGGTATCCCATATAATCTTAGGATTTTTTACATCTGTTGCCTTATTTTACAAGGTCGTAGGCTTTTAAAGTAAATAAACCCAACATCAATATCTTTATTCCATTCATTTGTTTGTTTCATGATCATTCTAAGGGTGCAAATGTGGTCAACGGTGTAGCATTTGGTAAGGAAACCTGCTTGATTACTTCTCAGTTTTTTTATCTAGTTACGGCTTCAATCTTTCCAATATGATTTTGGTCAAAATGTTGTATGCGACGTTTAATAGTGTTTTTGCATGCCAATTCTTCGTCAGTCCATATCTTGTTCAAAAGTTTATGTAACATTTATATGGATTGCTTCAGTATCTTCTTTAAAAGTTTTAGTGTATTTCCAATTTCTTCCCTTGTTATTTCTCCAATATTCACTTCTAGTTCTGGTGACTCTTTATCTTCTATAACTTGTGTTACTTCATGTTTAGCATCTATTTCTTATAAGTATTTCTTCTCCATCCTATCCTCAACTTTTCTGGCTTGTTTGTTACTTCTGCGTTTTCTTCTTTCTTCTATCAGTTGTAGAGTATCTTTAGTTATCCATTTTTTATTTTTTTCTTCTTTTCAATCCGATTGTTTCATTTGCTATATTCATCATTACTTCTTTAAAATACTTGCATGTTTCTTCGAGTGACTCTCCAGTTTGTTGTGATATATTAATTTCCAGTTTCTCAGCGTCTATATTTCTTATCATTTCTTTAGAACATCGACGTTGTATTGTTTCTTCTGTTGGTTTTTTGGTTTTTATCTCTGGTTAATTTCATTCTTAGAGACTTAGAAGAGGCAACTGCATATGACATATGAAGAAAAAGATGGAAATTATATATATATATATATATATATATATATATATATATATATATATATATATATATATATATATAGATGTATTATATATAATTTCATTCATAATTTTTAACTCTGAGTAGCATGTGGTCTGATCCCACATCAGCACCTCATTGTTATGTTTTCTATTTGGTTCTTGTACCTCCCTTCCATGTTACATGATTTCCATGTTCCTTATGTATCCGCTTATATTTCAAGATGCTTTCAATTATTAAAAGTTCATATTGCACGCAAAATTTTATTGGTCGATTTCCATTGTCGTTCCTCTCCCCCTATTCCTCCCTTGCCCATTACTTGTTCTTATCGTTTTATTGTCTATTTTAGCAGTTTAAGTCTTTGATTAATATTTTTATAGCTCTTCTATAATTATTGTTAATCTTATAATACGTTGTTTTTAGTAGTTCACAATATTCTTCCTTCTCATATTCGTCGTTTTTATTTGTAGGAGCATATATATTTACTACTATAATTTTATAGTATCTTGCCTCCAGTCTCGCCCAAATAATTATATCTGATACTGTTTCCCACTCAGAGCGTTTCTTCTCTTTTGGACTAGCAGTATTGCTACTCCCTTTTCGCTTTAATAATGTACGTTTGTATTCCCACAATATATCATTAGTTGTTGATCTCCTACTTGGATGGACTCCACTGCCATTCCATCGTATTTCACTTAGTCCAACACCGTCTAACTTGTACTTATCAATCTCTTGGCTTACTTGTTTCAATTTGCCAGTCTCGTAAAGGGTTCTTAAATCCCATGCTCTTACGAATATGTCATCTCTTGTTTATTTCGGATTTATCTTTCATCGTTTTTTTACGATTTTTAACCTTGCTCGATTCATTTTTCTTTGTATGTATGAAATCATATGTGTTTTTATTTGTGTATTATCATCTTCTGTTAGTTTTTTAGGTTTGACTGGGTTTCTTCTAGCTTGTTACTGTACTTATTCCGTGTGTGTTTTTCCATCTATTTATTAATGTATTGTATTATAATGTATTATATTTGATTTTAACAGTTTTACCTTTATTTATTTCTTTGTTGGCGACTTGACTTATTTTTATTGTATTTGTAGTTCTTCTTTTGTTATGTCATTATTTATATACACTTGGTAGTCTTTTATGTGTTTTAGATTAGCTTTATTTTGCATAACTTTGTCTTCTTCAAGCTTATTCTGCAGTTTGGCCAAACATGTTTTTTCTCCCAGTTTAATTGCTTCTTTTATTTAAACAGTGATGTTTATTTCTTTCTTTATGAAAATCTCTACAGTTTGTTTCAGTACATTTCTACCGATTGTATCTGCAGGTAAACCTTGTATTATTACATTTTTTTACCGTTTAGTTATTTCCTCATTTCTTCCTTCTTCTTGAAGATCGTTTGATTTTCTTGTTTAACTATCTCCAATTCTTCCTTCGGGTCATTTAGTTCCTCCCAGTACTTTCTCTGTTCCTTCTTTATTTCTTTTACGTCCGTTATTAAATGTTTTGTTTCTTTGGTTAAACCCTCATTATTTTGATTATTTGGTGAAGTTTATTATCTTGATCTTGATTAAGTGTTTTGTTAGGTGATTTACCCGCTTTCTTACTTTTTCCGAAGCATCCTCCTCTGCTTCTCTGGTACTCTTATTATTTATTATCTTCTGATGTGTAGTCGTCAGAATGCATTGTGTATTTACATATTATTTTTTTTATCGGATGTTAACAAATTCGACAACTTACGTGGCGCAGTCTGCGTGTATTATTCATTCCCGTTGCTTTATAGTCCAACTGTTATCTTGTAACTGTTCGGAGTTTGGATTGCGAAAAAATACCGAGCCCGCCTCAACATCTCAGAGATTCTACACCTTATTAATCCTAATTAGTTCTAGTTCTTTTTAATTATTTTTTACAGTTCGATGTTTTTGTACTTTTCCAATAGATATAAGAAATTTTACTTAGAGATTATTATCCGAGAGAAACTTTTTAATTAACCATACTAATCGTAAAATTTTGATGAAAATTACGTGTAAATAAATTATCATTTGTAAGCATGTCTTACTAATTCAATTAGAGATGAGTAGTTTTAATGACATTTTTGAAATTTCATTAAAACTACTAACATTAAAAAAAAATCTAATTAGACACCTTAAAACAATATATATATATATATATATATATATATATATATATATATATATATATATATATATATATATATATATAGTATAAAAATTACCCTGAGAATAACAAAAGATCATTCCTATACACATTAGAAGAGGATGCCAGTTGAACTCCAGACTTGGTTGTGATTGCCATGCAAGGCCTTGTCTAAAATGAAGAACCCAGACAAGCATTAAGATGCAAACTCCGACTCCAATACATGTTGTAAACGTATATAATGTTTGGTATTGTTTCACTTTTTGATGTTCCGCTCTAGCTTCCATATTTGAATTTCTGTAATAAAAAAATATACATATATAATAATACCTATTTGTGTAAATATTTGTCAAATGAACGCGATTTTTGCAGTAGATGTGAAAATTGGACCACGTGTATAGCGAACGATCCAACAAGTCATGTTAAAAAAAAACATGTGCATCGTGCTTTATATGTAAATGTTTTTTTCGTAATTCAGTTGTTATTAAAAAAACTAAATTTTTATGATTTACATTAATTTGATAGTATGAAAGCTATTTTTATTTCTAACAACACAAAAATCGTTGCCTACCGAGTTATTGGAAAAGTGTTAATGTCAACGTATTCACATATATTGTTTGGTTTTGTATAATATATTACAACAAATAATTAGATAAGTAATTATTTTTATTAAAAATATAATATTTATTACAAATGATTTGATTTCATATTTTTTTAATATAAACATCTAGTAAGCTACTAACAACTTGTTGGGTATATAACAATTTTCCTGTCATTTTTTTAAAATAATCTTGTTTTCAAAACGATTTCCTGAGTGTAAGTCGAAACGTCAAACATTATTTAAGAATGTACTTCTCATTAAAATCAACTGTGGCGTAACCCATATAAACATAATATTTAATCTAATAAGATGTTCGTTAACATTACATTCTGATTACCATTGATCAATAACACATTTTGCTCTAAAATAAATTTCTATACGAAATTAACTGAGATCCAATTTAAGACTTAAATCAGATCCAAGTTACTGGCACAACGCCACAACTAAATTCCATATTTCCATACACATTTAAGTATATGTTTACACAAGTATTTAACATATATTAATAGCGATGATTATTTTAAACGTGGCCAATTATCTCAATTTCCTGTACATCAAGATAAAAGATTATTTTTAATGAGTACTTTGTCAGAATTCGAGGATGGTGAAGAAGCTGATAGAATTTTGCTTATTTCCTCCTCCTCGGTCCTATTCCTTTTGGGATGTGGTGACACCGTCAGGCCTTTACAGTTTTTTCACGATTTCCCTCCATCCTTCTCTGTCCTGGGCTAATTGTTCGGCCTCAAGTAACCCTTGGATAATCAATATTTTTGTTTAATCTACCCAACGGCTTGGAGATCCTCCCCTAGGTCTCTTTCCTTCAACTCTACCCTCGACTATCAGTTTTTCCATCGTACCTGTTCTTCTAGCAATGTTTCCAAAATATTGCAAATATCTCTGTTGTATTTGTTTAAGCAATATATCCTTTACTTTAAGTTGTTCTAATATCGATACGTTAGTGAGATGATCAATCCAGGATATTCTCAACATGCGGCGGTATACCCACATTTCAAAAGCGTCCAGTTTATTTTTATCCGCTTTCTTTAAGCTCCACGTTTCGGATGCATATGTGGCTATGGGAAAAATGAGCGCCCTTACCAGCCTTAGTTTTGTGTGTACTATTATGCTATAATTTTTCCAAATTGCTACCAGTTTGATCATAGCTGTTCTAGCAATAGTCAATCTTCTACGTATCTCTCTGTCACACCCTTTATCATTTGTTATTAGGGACCCCAGAAATATGAAACTATTTACTACTTCAAAGCCCCCAATTTCTTTAAGGTGTTGAAGATTATTCCGAGCTCTGTCTACTATCATGATCTTTGTCTTACTCCTATTTAGCTTTAGTCCATATGTTTTGCTTTTTTCCTCCAGATATCTCATTATGTCTTCCATTTCTTCTTGATTTGCCGCGAGCGATTATTAAAGTGTCATGAGCATATTTCAAATTATTGATTTTTTGACCTCCTACTGATATTCCGCCCTTCCATCCGTCTAGTACCTTTCGCATAATGTAGATATTAAACAGAATTGGCGAGATTATGCATCCCTGTCTCTGTTCTGAAATGATCGGATTGGGTGTTGTTTATTTTTACTGTGCACTTATTATTTTCATATAGACTTCTAATTAGTTGAATTGTGGTTGAAAGTGGAGGGGTGTTCCCATTTACACTAGTATGGACCATAGCTGCTGCCATTTGACTTTATCGAAGGCCTTGTGTAATCCACAAAGCACATAAGTATAGAAGTATTGAATTCACGAGTTTTTTCAATTAGCTGTCTGACATTAAGGATGTGTTCTCTTGTGCCTTTTCCTGGGACAAATCCCGTTTGTTCTTCTGATATCTGAGGCAATAGAAAAGCTTTTAGTCTTTCATGTATTACATGAACTAGAACCTTGCTTGCATGGAATATTAGGGTTACCGTTCTGTAGTTGCTGTAATCTAGCGAAGTTCCTTTTTTGAATATGGGGATGAAAGTGGATGTTGTCCAGTCGTTGGGCCACTCTCCGGATTCCCAAATCTTTTTGCAGATCATATGCATAACATTTACTCCAACATCTCCAGTCTCTTTTAAACTTCTGCGGTGATCTGGTCTGCGCCAGGAGATTTTCTATTTTTCAACTTTTTGATTGCTTTCTCTACCTCTGACTTTAGAATATTTGATTCTCTCTCTTCAGTGAACTCATCGTGATTTGCATTCTGGGGATCATCTGCATAAAGACTTTGACAATATTTTCTCCATACCTCCACAATCCCTTTCTCGTCATGTATAATATGTTGGTTTTCATCCATTATTGTTTGTGTGATTGGTTTAAATTCCCTGGATAGATATCGGACTTTGTTATATAGCTCATGGGATTCATACTGGTTTGCATGCCTCTCTAGTTCTTCGCATTCTTTACGCATTTACCAAGATTCTGTACGTTGCAGAAAAAAATGTTTCAAATAAAAAATGTAGAGATAATTTTGAACAGGAATGTTAAGTAACACTTTTGCTGAAAAATAAACTGTTATCTCAGAAACAACGCTTGAAGAGACCGGCGATTATTTGGGTTACGAAAGTTGTATCAACTCGACGGTTAAAATTCGATATCTTCTGATCAGCGTTTCATATAGACAAAAATAACTAAACTTCTAGTATCCACCGACTTTTATATATAAATGTGCGCTTTTTAAACCTAAATTTAAATGTAGCGGGTGATTCACGCAAGTCAGCATAATTCATCAACTTTATTTTTATTGAAAAGTCCTATAGATTTTTGTTTTTAGAAGCTACTTAAAACCAAATCTTAAAAGGTATATAATTTTGAATGGTTTTTTTTTAATTAGCTAAATCAAACTTCTAAACTAAGTATCAATATATTGTATTATTCATAACAGAGCCTACATTTTACAGTTTGTTAAGATTTTAAAAACATAAACATATGTAGGTGTTCCATTAAAAATAAATATGATGGACTATGTAAGACTCACCTCGTGAATCACCTCGTATATTTAAATTTATATTGAAAAAGTGCACATTTGAATTTAAAAGTTGACGTGTCCCAGTGTTTTTCATAATATATATTAACAAACTACCTGGTAACGCAAACAAGTCTACCAATTTCCAGGCTATACTTCACTCTCCTGAAGATTTATCATTTTTAAGCGTTTTTTAGGGTTTTTGCAGCACTGTATGCCGGTCCGAATGTTGTTACAAGTATAATTTAAAAATTTCACCCATACCACTACAAAGAAGATGATAACTTTAAACGGCGAAATTATTGTGAATAGCAATAGTTTTAATTATCTAGAATCAGTATTAAAGTTCTTGTGAAATAAATGGAGATTCACGTAATTGTTTGGAATAAGATGGAGGTGGTATCTTGTGAAAGTGAGTGTAGTGACGAAAAAAAGATCAAATTAGGAATTGATATATGATATCAATACAAAGAATTGCGGAGTTGTAAGTTCTTCGAAGGAGTAGGAGAGGAGTACCAAATAGGGATTGGATACACAATCTTTTCAAGATTGGCCTGAATCCACTGCAATCCACAGCAAACTGTGAAATCGAAATAAAAAAACTATTTTAATGTTTATTGTGTTCATAATATTATTTAAGCTTTTAGTCCAAAGTAATAAAATAAAAACTCAAAATAAAAATTATCTTAGGTGTATATAAACAAATGAGGACGTATAATCAGTCGCAATTCGTAATAAATCTTACCTCTCTTTAACTTAAAATGGCTAGAGCAAATGCTGCAATTATCATGAGATTTCAAAAAAAACTCGTCCCCAGTAAGCCATGAAACTGAAGATCGTTCTCAGATGGGGCTTTGCTTATGTCGGCTGAGAATTGCCACGAATGAATAGAAATGAACTTTTCTGTTGTAAGAATGGTTCATTTGAAGCAAATTTCATTGATGGCAATTTTGAGCTGACACCAGTTAAGTAATATGTTTTTCTACCATGGCTTAGGTACTAAGAAGTTTTTATTGGATCTTATGATAAAAATCAGTATGTATTCTAAAATTTTAATTAGCAGAAATATGAATTATTTAAAAATAAAATAAACGGTTTAGGTTTGATTTCGTTACAATGTACCACCATTGAGAAAAATAATAAAAATAAAGTAAAGTTAGAAAACCCAGATTTAGGATGAATCCTAAATTCGATATGTGATTTACATTCTCATTGATAGATATCGCTGCAACAGCGTTTGTTTGTAAATATTTTTCAAATATTTACTTTAATAGTCGGAGAAGAGAAGGTTTATTTCGTTAGAGCTTGCCATGAGTTCACTTTGATAAAGACAAGAAGCATAAATGTGCATAACAGCGAATGGTGATACGCTGTAACAAAATCAATAAAACGTGTATTTTATTTTGATTATTTTTATTCTAGTATCGAGTATTAGGAAATTGTTTTCACGCAGGAATTTCTGTCTAGACGAATCGGCATGGAGTGGATACAATTATAAATCCCCATGCCATTGCATTTGTCGCCTGCTCGTTTTGCAACGTTAGAAAACACAGATTTAGGCTGAACTCTGAATTCGCTTTCAGATTTATATGGTTATGACTTATTTAGTTTTTTAGAAGTGAGACCTTGAAAAACATTTTGTCTATCGACTTATCGCCTAACCTGCTTCGCACAGCACTGCACATATATCCGGTTGCGAAGAAAGCATTTTCGGCTTCTACGCTGGTCGGTTT